TCCACTTTGAGAATCTGTCATTAACAAATGAACTACCACTTAAGTTGAATAGATAACATTAGAAGCAAAATAAATCATCTTTTGCTATATTGTATTCCAACTAACTGGAATGTTCACTATACTATGAAACACAAAATCATACATCTTATAAAAGTCTATTGTGAGACTAATGAAATCGAATATCAAGTCTGTCTTGATAATGAAAATTCAAATATTCCATAGATCAATATACTTTATATTATAAAAGTTTTTAAAGTATTATATGCCAAATTTATATTTTTATCTAATGCTTAATACGTACATAATTTTCATATAGAATAAACATAATCTTGTTCACTTACTATTCATTTATTGAAAAGTAAAATTTTGAAACCCAAAAATTTGAACACTTAAAATACCATGCTTTGGCTCCATTAAAAATAGATTTTGGGAAAAATGTATTTTAAAATAGTTATTCAAACTATTATGTATATTTCTATTTTCAAAACTCATCTTTCTTATAATTTGTTCTAAAGTAGCCATCTAATTAGCCCACGTTTGGTGACCCCTTTTTTTTTTTTTTTTTTAAGAAATATTATTTTAAATAATAAATTTTTGGGATAAAATGTGTTAAAATATAGGAAAATTTTTAAATTCATATGTAAAATATTTTATTGTAAGAATGTGTAATTGAAGAAAAACATGACTTATCATTTTGAGCTAGATACTCTTTCAAAATGCATATAAAATAAAATTAAATGACTTATTTCCAAATAAAAAAGGAATAATGGATCAATTTGGCAAAAATACAAAAGGCTGACCAATGATACTAACAAAGTACACAATGCACCAAAAACTAGGCATAGCAGTTAGTAGTACTAGTACCACCGCCTTCTCTGCTTTCTCTCATTGGTAAGAGTAAAAAAAAAAAAAAAGAGGAAAAAAAGAAATCCTACTTTAAGCTAGTGGGTCCTGTGACCCACTAGGACCCACCGTGGGTCCGCCCCTGGAGCAGAGGTACGTGGCTTAGATGAATACAAATGAGTGCTACATTGCTGCTGGTGATAAGCTCATTGTTCGATACTTCATTTGACAGCTGTCTCAAATAAGGTAAGAGCTCTTTTAATAAGCCTTTATCGTTTTTGAATAGTGTGCCTAGTCCCCTTTTTATGTTATTGTTTAAGTGAAGGCTAAGTTAGAGACTATTGAGAAGGTAAAAGAAGCGGCTGCTGATGTGCCCAAACATTTGAGAAGGAAAAAGCTCGTTGGAAGAGGTCGAAGTGAAATGGAATAAGGAGAGAGCTACACTTGTTGTCTGTCTGGAAGCTAAGGAGATGAAGAAGACTGAGGTAGAGAAGCTCCATGCTGATGAACTAGCAGCTAAGTTGATTGCAACTGTGGATAAGTGGAAGGCCTCCTTGATGGTCAAGCTCATGACCAAGAGGTGTGTGTGGTGGCCATCCGTGAGCTTATTGGGTTTGTTGAGAAGAAAGTTTTAGATTTGGACAACGCCTTTCTTTGTGAAGCCTTATCTCATCAGGAGATAGCTTTGGCTAACATGATCGAGGCTGGTCCTTTTGGGGCTTAGGAAGATGGTGGTGTTGCCTCAGAGCAGGAAAACCTATCTAATCAAGCTGGTGGCCAGAGTGAGTGATGATCCTCCAGTTGTGTAAAGGATGTGGATCCTTTTTGCAGTATTTAATTTAATTTGGTACTTTTGGGAAAAAACACTTTTTGTTATGTTCTTAAATTCCTGTAAGAATTCTCCATTTTGTTGGGATGAATTGTTCGGTTCTTATGTGACTAATTTTGTCAAGTCATGAAAGTTTGACTAAATGTGCGAACTAAGATTGGACGTTAGTGTTGACTTGTCATGACTTTTAATTCTAGACTAAGTGTTGCAGTTGAGGTAAACTTCGTTAGGAGAGCTGAAGAGCTCATCTAGAATTTTCACAAAACTGTCTAAGTATTGTAGCACTTACAGCCTTAGTTCATGCTGCTGAAGAGCATATTTTGAAATTTCGTGTTGAAAATTTGACTAGGTGTTGTAGCTGAAGCAAACTTTGCTAGGATATAGCTGAAGAGGTCATCCAGATTTTTTACGAATTGTTCAAGGACTTTGTAAGATTGAGATGATTGTCATAAAAATTACTTTATTCAAGCTCATTAACATAAGGTAGTATAAGTGATTGTCTATTGATAATATTTTTTTAGGTGTTCTGCATTCCATGAATGTAGGAGAGGATATCTTTCCATATCTTCAAGCTCATAAGATCCTTTGGATAGGGATTTTTGTGATTTTGTACGGCCCCTCCCTATTAAGTCCTAAAGATCCTGTGTTAAGCTCCCTAGTGGCAATGAAGACTCCTCTTAACACCAAATCACCAACTTCAAAAACTTCCTTATCCATGCTTTTTGGTTGTAGTATTTGGCATTTTTTCTTGTAAACTACTGTCCAAAGTTCAAATTCATTTCTCTTTCTTTCTAGCAAGTTGAGCTCAGCATGTAATGCCTTTTCATTATGTTCTTCATTAAAGTGTGAAGTTCGGTATGAGAGAACTCCCATTTCGAGAGGAATCATAGCTTCAACACAAAATGCTAGGGAAATCGAGGTTTCCTTAGTGCTTGTACGCGAGGTGGTGTGATAGACCATAACAAGGGAGTTCATCAGCCCATGCGCCTTTGAGAGCATCTAATCAAGCTTTGAGAGTATGCTTGATGATTTTATTAATTACTTCAACCTACCCATTAGCTTGGGAATGATTTAGGGTGAAAAAATTGTTTTCGAATGTTTAACTCTTCAAAAAAAGTCATCAAGCGTGCATTGTCAAACTTCTTCCGATTATCAATTACTGTGAATAAGGGATCCCAAAAATCGACAAATAATCAATTTCCAAATGAAGTTCGTGGTTTTGGTAAAGTAATCAACAGTGACGATAGCACACTTAGTTCCACCCCTTCCAATATGCGTGGGTTCAATCAAGTCTATCCTCCATTTTGAGAATGCCCAAGGACTAGCTATGGGAGCGAGCTCCTTTGGGGGAGCTCTAGTGATGGCTGCAATTGTTGGCATTTATCACACCTCTTCACAAAATTTAAAGACTTTCTTTATGGAGGACAAAAATATCCTTGCCTCAAGATCTTGTGGGCATTAAACTGTCCTCTCATGTGATTTCCACAGATTTTTTAGTGTACTTCCTACAGTGCGTATAAGGCATCTTCTTTATTTAGGTATATCAGCAACGGGAATCACATATCCTCTCTTTTAGAGAACACCATCTAGGAGATTATATTGAGCTAACCTTGTTCTCAACTCTCTGGATTCAACCGGGTCAATAGGGCTTTTCCCCGATTCTCAAGAATTGTATGATCTTGTCCATCCAAGAAATCTTGGGGTCTATATGGCCATCAGCATTACAACAGTTTCTTCAATAGGAGGATGTTCAATTGATCCATCCAAAAGGGACTCTCTCCAATTCATTCTCTCCTTCGCTTGTTGCGAGCCTAGCTAGAGCATCAGCGTGGTTGTTTTGAGATCTGAGGTATTTGTTTTCCAGCTTAACCATCTGTTATAGCTTTAATATTTTGGTCACTAAACCTTCTGTTGTTCTAACTTAGTCCCCATATTAATGAAAATGGCTCAATTGACTAAACCAAATTATGATTATGAAATAGAAATTTGATTCTGTCTTGCTGAATTATTTGTCTTTTTAAATGCATTTCTAGAAAAGATTGCAAAAGGAGAAAAGAAGAAAAAGACATTTAGGGTCTATTTGATGTAGATTTTATGAAAAATATTTTTTTGAGAATGTATGATTAAAAAAATAAAAATAAAAATGAGTCCAGTTGTAAAATTATTTTATTGAAATAATATATTCTTGAAAATGGATTTTAAAGAACTTATTCAAACAAGGCTTAATCACTTCTCTGATTCCAACATCCCGACCCCATTAGGGTTGAAGGTCTAAAAACAACAGATCATTTGATTTTGAATGGAAATAGAGGTGGCAATGAGACGACAATGTGATAATTAAAATATTTTCATTCCTGTTATATTTCTCAATTAACTTTTCATGAATTCTCCCAACCATTCAAGTGGTGTAGTTATGAGTCCCTAAAATATATTGAATGTCACATTTTTGGGTCCCCCATTGTTAATTTGGACTTTTAAATTGCATACGACATTTAGGGAATTAGAAATAAATATTAAGCCCCTACCTCTACTTTTTGTGAGATTAAAATCCTCTTTTTTACCTTTGTAAAGCAGATTTGGGTCCTCGTGTTAGAATTTTGTGAAAAGCAAGTTCAAAAAAGGAAGAGGTATGCCGATTTGGAAGTGGCAATGGTCAATAAACTGATATAAATCTTTTTGAAAATGCAAAAACAGACAGGAACGTTGTGACGTCCTCAAACTATGAGTAGTTTGAATGTTGCATAAACTTAGAAATTTAGATTCTAAATTTAATAGGTTGTGAATCCGTTGAAACTCTAGAATCACTTCTCAAGAAATATTGACTTATTTATTTATTAAAAATTATTCTTTTCATTTTAACGTGCAATTAAATTTAAAAACATAGAAATAACATAAAAATTAGAGTAGAGTGGATCAATATAACAAGGCAATACATGATATTTAATATCTAGTTGAAAATAGCATCGGAGTGGATGGCATTGATTTGACGCATGTTTAATTAATCAATCGCCGGGAGATTTGCACATTTCCTTGTGTAATTGGATAACTTTACCATTTGATTATGTTGAGAGAATTATTGGGATATCAACATTGAAACAATATTTTGAATGATATTGAAACTCACGAGTTAGTAGTAAGTAGTACATATTGAGAAAGCACAACTTGGATTTTTCAGGCACAAAATTTGCATTATGACCCAGAACCCAACTTGATACTTTTGTATCAACTAGCCAATCTCAAAGAAGAAAAGAAAAAATTTCACATTTCCTTGTGTAATTGGATAACTTTACCATTTGATTATGTTGAGAGAATTATTGGGATATCAACATTGAAACAATATTTTGAATGATATTGAAACTCACGAGTTAGTAGTAAGTAGTACATATTGAGAAAGCACAACTTGGATTTTTCAGGCACAAAATTTGCATTATGACCCAGAACCCAACTTGATACTTTTGTATCAACTAGCCAATCTCAAAGAAGAAAAGAAAAAATCAAAGCCGTAATTCTCTCCTGGATCTAAGGTGGCTCTGTTGAAATGTCTATGATCTGTCAGGAGGCACCAGAGAACTGTGCAGCCTTCATGACAACTTCTTCAGTGGTCATGCCAATTATCTCGTTTGCATGCTTGAGACCGACACAGAAATACCTTCCAAATGAATCCTGAATTCACGAATCAAACTACGTGAGTGTTTTTACCACAAAGGTTCCACGTGAAAATGGACACCTATGTTTGGCTACTCACTTTTTATCCACTATCTATTTCTAATTTGAACACTTTCCTAACATGCTTTCATCATCCAACAAATAGAGTAATCAGGAAAAAGAACTGGTTCCCAACCTATCTCTGTGTGTGTTTGGCGGAGACATAACTTTATTGACATGCAAAAGAAACGGATAGAGGGAATCTCACCCGAGAAACAATGCCTAATTTCTCTAATTTATAGACAGCATCATCAACATCAAAGTTGCACTGTTCACCGAACTCATCATATATTAGATCCTCACATCGATGGTCAAGATCCTATTTACATGATCAAATATCACTATCAATAAATCAAATTCAAGATCAAGCAAACAACTACCAATTCAGCAAACCTCCACAGTAGCTTTCCCCTGCTCCATTAATATAAAGAATGAAATTATCACCTCCTTTACCTGCATATTTGCAATATTCAACTTAAGAACTTGACATTGTATTTTTCAGAAAGACAATATACTTTGGATAGGTAAATAAAATTCAAGAGAGATGCCATTGCAAATAGAGATTTAGGACCAATTCTTTGGAAAAAAAAAATATTACATGTTCCTGTAGTTATTGCATTCGTTGACAATAACAAGCTATGAAGTCATGCAAACTTAAATAATTAAAATAGGAAAGGCCTGTTTGAAAAATGAAAAAGATAATTATCAAATGCTACAACTTACTTCTTGTTGAATTACATCATCACACAAGTGAAGAAGAGTGCCCCGTCCACTATCTAATTGTTTGTCATACATTGACTGAGTGATCAGGTTCTGATATGTAGCCATGTTCTGTTGAAACCTGCAGGCAAATAAACAAAGCTTTGGTCTAAACCAACACGTTCGTAGGCGCTTAAACCATGTCTTGTTAAGAAAACCAGTCTCGGGACTTTTTTCCTTGGAATAATATACTGCGAAATAAAACACTTAACGTGAAGTATGTCTTAGCAATATAACCAATCACTGTGGAGAGAATAGCAAACATGACCCAGAGATCAGCTTTAGGTTTTTCAACTGAACCCATAACAGCTACCTGCAAGAGTCCACAGTTGAAGCATGTGACAGAATTGGTTTACATAAAGAAGTCGAGTAAAAATAAATAGCGGATACTATGTAACTGACCAATCCAACTACAGCAGAGATAAGAAATTTGACCCAGTCCATAGGAGTCAAACTTGGATTTTTTTTCTCTGGCTATTTATAGAAAATAAATTGTGTTAGTACCGTAGCAAATCTAAACTTATATTTAGGGATATAATTAGAGTAATGCTAAAGAAAAATAAAAAGGTTAAGAATAGGCAAGTACTAGCGCACAGGGAATTGAAAACAAAAGAGAGTTGTCGAGAAAAAGAGACAAGTTAATAAAACTCACAAGGACAATTTCCATATCAGCCATCGGGATGTTTTTGAAATGCTTCAGATATATCCCACGTTCAGCTTTTGTCTGGGAACTTGCTTTCCTACATAGCAACAAAAAAGAGACAAGAATTTAAAGGAGCAATAATAAGACTAGGAGTTTAAGTTACCATTTGCAATTGATCTAACTACTAGTATTCTAGAAACAACATCTATTTATACCAAAGAAACAGTTGCAATAAAAAATTCAAGTGTTAAAGAATAAAAGAAGTCGGAATGGATACCTGTAAACAACAATTATCCTATCAAAGGTAGGTTCTTCGATAGTGATTTTGCTAAGTAGATTGCTTAGACTGAATTAAGACAAAATAAAAACAATTAAAAATGACAATACTTGTCAAGAATTTGAAACAGGCAACACTTACGAGTGCCAATTATACAGTTGTCCATAAGGGTTTGTGTCACGCATTTTAAAGTTATCTCAACATGTAGACATTACCAAGCATGATTTTTATCTAAGTTTATACTACATTCCCTTCCCCACGAACATCCATGACACGGAACAGTTTACAAATTAATGCTTGCAGCAGAAAATCCAGATATTGGGGAACAGAATAACCAGATATCCTAGTGCATCCATTAGATTTCACACAAACTTAGGGCAAGTGCAGTTCTATAGAGTAACCTTTGCTAACAACATAAGATCTGGAATATATTAATAAAAGGACATTTTTTTAAAAATCTAGAACATTCAACAGGTTCAATGCATTATCAAACACGCTACATATAGCTCAGGTTGTTTAGTTATTACGTAAATTAAGCCGTGCATTTCAGAATTTAAGAGTTGTTGATAAGGAAAGATCATCACTTGAAATTTATTCAAACCCCGAGCAAGCAACTCAAGAATGAGAATGAAAATCATTAGAATCATGATTTAAAACCTTAGCTCCATTTTCTCAATACGAACACGTTCAGCATATAGTACATCTTGTTCAGCCTCAGAAGTGATTTCATCGTCCTTTTCTGGATCCTTCTTACGCAATGAACTTGATCTACTATACAAAACCCTTTCTAACCTGCAAGTAATAAAGATCACTACATAGAAACTAGACAACAGATGTGCTCATATGCCACAGACAGATATTACACGCCAAAAAGAGACCAGAAAATGAAAATCATAAATTTGGAACAGATGCGACAACTGGGAACTAAATTTTGATATGGACTGCCCTAGACTCAAGCAACTCAATTGCTTATTCATAAACAGTCACTCACCTGGTCTTTCTCAAAATCCAAGCCCACAAACGTGCAATGATCACATCCACTTTCTCCAGGAAAAAATAATCAGTTGTCATATCAATACCGATTCCACGTCGAAAGATAACATACTAGAGAAAAAACAGAAGACAAAATGGAAAATCAAATTCAAACTGATCCATTTACCATGAGAACCAAAACAAACTGGAATTGATTTAAGATAAATATGAGATCTTGTGCTACCACTAATTTGAGGAAAAAAAATTGATGAAATAAGATTAACACATCAGCAAAAAGGTAAATAGATGGCAGTTGGCAGGGTGATCAGTATATTGCAGCATCATATTCTTTCTAGAATTTCATTCAATCATACAGTGAATACTAACAGCTACTCAAATCAAAATGTTCCAGAAAGCAGCACCTCTCTCTCCTCCCACCATCAGAAAACAGGTGTAAACCAATGGGGGCAAGTTTTTTATTTCAAAATTACAGTTCATCAATTTCATAGATAATCTAAAATTATACTCATCAAATAGAAAATGATTATCCTTATAATAAACAAATAGAAAATGTCTGAATATATTGGTCCGAAGAAATTTCTAGTCTTCCAGTCTGCAATAGAGTAAAGTATTTTGTCTCAACTCCTATATGTAGATTCTCCTTCATTGTTAAAGATTGAAGGAGAACCTGAGATCAATAGAAGAAGAGCTGAATTACAGAAGAATGTATGTAAGCAACAGTTTGAAAAGCAACTCACAACAAATCAGCTAGTCAAGAAAGATCTAGAAAGGAAGAAGGAATATTCTGTTAGTTGAGATGTTTGTTATTAGGCTGGGAATTCAAGGGCTGTATATAATAGATATTTTTTTCTGTTTTGAAGTGGTTAGATTTTGATTCTATCTCATCACTATATATTCAGCATGTATACTAATTTTACACACAGAGATAAATAGAGAATGAATACAAAGTTTAAATTCTCTCCAAATTAATTCTTGCAATTCCTTCTTGTATTTATTAAACATTTCATATTCAAAATCTTATATGGTATGAGAGCCAGAAATGGAAGAAAATCCAGAGTTAATTGTTCTAGTGGTTACTAAACTTAGGTTCATGTCTTTCATTAGTCATTGAAGTTTAGAATGTTGGGTTTTGGTTACTGGACTTAGGTAGACTTCAATTGCTCACTGAAATTTAAAATTTCGAGTTTTGACCACTGAACTTTGAAAAATGTTATACATCATTCACTGAACTTTGAAAAATGATGTACATTAATCAGTGTAAACTCAATATTTTTCAAAGTTTAACAGTTATGCTAGTGAGTGCGATATTCCAATATTCAGTGGTCAAAACTCGACATTTTAAATATCAGTGAGCAATCGAAAACATAAACCTAAGTTCAGTAATCAAGACTCGATATTTTAAACTTCAATGATCAATCAAAGACATGGACCTAAGTTCGATGACTATTGTAACAATTAACTCAAGAATCCACAAATGAAAATCAAGTTTCTCCGCCATCTATTCCAAACCCTAACCTAATTCATTCAAATACTACCCAGAAACAACCAAGAGCTCTTGTTCAAGACCCAACTCACCCTACTAGTCCCTTCTTTATCGAGAGCAATGATGGAACAAGAGCCATGCTTGTTACACAGAGCTTGAATTCAACTAACTACTACTCTTGCGCCAGATCGATGAAGAGAGCTTTGCGGATTAAGAACCATTTGTGAATCTTCTAACCCCAACGACCCTCTAATGGAGCATAGTTGAGATGCAATGATATTATGATAACTTTGATGCAAAATACCATGGCCATGGATATCAAACGTAGCATAGTTTATACAGAAACTACACATTAGCTCTCGTTCAAATTTGAACAACAATTTGCACAACAATATGCTCTAAGGATTTTTGAGGTAAAGTAAGGCATAACATCCTTAATGCAAAACCAAGATGTAGAGGTTTAAAACTAGTGGTTCAAAATCAATAGAAGGATTGGGTAATGAAGTTTCTAATGGGCTTAATGAATCATATAAGGGGGTAAAGGCACAAATTCTATTGATTAAGCCTTTTCCTAGTTTGAATGAAGTTTATTCTATCATTCAACAAGAAGAAAAGAGGAGAGAGAGAAATTTCAAGTGATAGCTTAAGTAAAATTCTATGACACTATTGAGCAGAGGCAAATTTAGCCCTTGTTTAGACCTCGTTATATTGAGAATTTGGGAAAAATATATTTTGAAATAGTAATTTTTTTGAGAATATGTGGTGAAAAAAGAATAAATTTTTTTTTTATGTGTAATTATTTTATTGGAGAATGTGTAGTTGATAAAAGGAAGAGAAATATGAATTATAATTTTAAGAAAAAATTGCAACCACGGTACCAAACCTTTCGTTTATTAGTAGACTTGATTCAAACCTTTCATTTGTGTTACCAGAGATACCAAACCTTTAAAAAATTCGCACCTAGAGTCGAAATGATGAAAACCATCCATTGACAGTTAGTTGACTCCATAAAATAATTTTGACCAAATCTACAAAGGGTAAAATTGTAACTTTACAATTTTCCACTTAAATAATTAAAATAGTAAATAAAAAGGAAGAAAGGAAAAGTAAAATAAAAGGTTGTCTCCCTACAAAACCAGCCCCTTTCCCACCCCCACCCTGAAAGTCAGCGACCATCGCCACACCACTCATTATCAACACCATCGACCTTTAGCTACTACAACATTAAAGGAGCTTGCCAAGCCAAATATTCCTCTCCTTAAGGCTACATCATAAAGAAATCATTTCTTGTGAAAAGTAAAAGGAATTTGATTGTTCAAATCTGACTATTTTCACTCATGAAAACCCCATTTTCAGGTGTAAAGTTTGTAGCTACAACCAGCAATTGTTTCTGCCTTTGTCGTCGACAACAGCTACAGCTACCACAACTCAAGTTGGAAACTTATTTGTGCAAGCAAATAGGCACAAATTTGCACAAATCCTATACTAAAATCAACCCTATATATAATATAAAATTTCACTTATTCAATAGCAATACACAACATAACAATTATTAAAAACAACAAATATGCACAAGTGTGCACAAAATCTGGTGAATGAAATATCCAATTTGGCCTTGATGTGATCTCTCATCAAAACAAAAACTGAATGAAGTTAAAGCGAAGATCTTGTATAAACATTAAGAGGATGACATTAAAATTGAAATGAGCAAGCTTTATAGAGAGAAGAGATGAGTGTGCAAATTTTGGCAAATGGAAGAGTAGGAAGATGGTGATGGCGGTGACTATCTGGATTTGGACTTGGTTTTGGGTAGGTGAAGATAGGTGGGGAAGGGGTGGAGAAGAATAAGGATCTTCTTTTTCTTTTGGATTAGGGATGCCAACGACGTTGAGGTGGTAATGCCAACGATGGAAGTGGCTATCGGTAATTGGGTGTGTGGTTTTGGATTTAGGTTGATGGCATTGGAGAAGAAGGAGATAGGGTGAGAGGGTTGTTCTCACCCTATCTATTACACTTCATGTTATTCTTGTCACCGTGTCCCTAATTTCTCTTTCAATTTGATTTTAGCGAAGAAAATGTCTCAAGAACTAAATTGCTGCCTTGTTTTTTCTTTGATTATTGTTATATTCAAGACCTTTTGACTTGGAAAATGTCTAGAATGGGTGAAGTGAAGCAAACATTGTACTATTGTTACAAAAGGGGGTCTTCCCTTTGGCCTAATCAAAAGCCTTGCCTAAATTCAACTTAAAAACCAACATTTCTACATCTGTTGTCAACAATACAAACACCTTCGACCTTTGGCATTATAAATTAGGTCATTCCTCTTATTCTGAATTCAATTTAGACAAAAATGTCAATGTACCCAGATCATCTAGAGATAAGTCTTGCCTCATTTGTCCCTTAGCTAGGTTACACAGATTACCATTTCCTATAAACCAACACAAAATTGAAAAATGTTTCGAATTGATACATTGTGATATTTGGGCCCTTGCAATGAAATCAGTCATGATGGTTCTAAATGTTTCTTGACTATTGTTCATGATTTTAGAAGGAGTACTCGGGCTTACATGTTGAAACTAAAATCAAAAGCAAGCACTAATTTGCAAAATTTATGTATTATGGTAGAACATCAATTTGGAACAAAAGTAAAAACTATTTGAAGTGACAATGAGGAATAGTTTGATATGAAAGAGTTTTACCTAGAAATGACATAATACATCAAAGAACATGTGTTTAACAAAATGCCACCACTAAAAGAAACCATCAACATATTTTAAACATTTCAAGAGCATTGAAATTCAAAGTGGTATTTCATTGAGATTTTGGAACCACTGTGTTTTCACAGGTATAGCTCATTAATAGTTGCTGGAAATTGTATTTAGACAATCAATCAATTCAAGTGTTTACTTGATAACAAATTCAAAATTAAAGACCTTGGCAAGTTAAAGTATTTTCTTGGAATTGAAGTGACTAAATTAGCATAAGGTATTTATACATACCAACAAAAGTATGCTTTGGATGTTACGGGCCTAATTAGAGGGTAATTATAGAGATTCCTCATTTGTATATTTTCCTAATATAGATTATCTCTAACAGTGTATATATACGTATCGTTTCGTTTCTATGAATATAACAAGAAATTATATTTTCTTAAACCTTTTTCATGGTATTAGAGCCATAAAATAATTTCGAACTTGTGCTTGTTTTGTGTGTGTCTAGCGCAATTAGTGGTAGGTTCCTCATAGTCGGCCATTGTTGTGTGTGTGCTTGGTGACCAGTTCCTAGTAGTTGGCCTTCTGTTCCTCAAAGTTGCAGTTGAGGTCATCATGGTTGAACCTATGTCTTTCTGTCGGCGCTGCTCCTTTCCTCTTTGTCCAGTCACCTTTTCTTTTACTATCATTCGGTGCCCTTCCTTTCCCTTTTGTTTAGTTACGATTTTTTGTGGGATGCAGAGTTTCGAAGATGTTTGAGTCAAATCTAGCGCCTTCGCGATTTGTAGCGTTCATAGTTTCAAGCTTCGTGTGTTTTCATTGCAGTTGGGCTATTGGTTTTCATCTCAATTGGCTTGATGAGTTGATTATTGGGCTTGGGCTGATTTATTGATTTTTTTCATTTCATTTGGGCTTTA